ATAGACGTTTGCTAGGAGTGTATGTTTTTCAAAATACAAGGTCTTTAACAAAAAATAACGTATACTTATTGTCGTCGGATTAACACCAAATTTTCACAGCTTTAAGGTGACAATGAGAGGAACTTGAATGTGTCCCGACAAACTATTTCATCGATTATTTACCAACGAGTTGTGGTTTGAGTTGGGGGCAATGCGACTAAAACAGTAATTGAAATTCAGGACACTATTTTTTAAAACGCGTTGCTTGAATAAAACTAACCAGACACATTCAATTTACCAGACTATTGAACAACTAGGAAAAGTGAAAAAAATACTTCTTATCGCCAGCATAAATGCGTATTTTTTTTTTTTTACAGAAAAAGTAATTTTTCACCTTTGATTGAGTAACGCGTCGTAGAATGCAGATACGGGCATGCAAAATACACTTGTGAAAAGCTTGAAGTCTGGCGATTCTAAAAATATATACTTTCCCGGGTCTATTTGTAGTCATTTAGTCACAATTAGAAGATGAAAACAAGTATGCAAATAATAGTCCCGCTACCTTAAACCAAGATACATTGATTGATTGTAAAACTGTATTCATACCGTTCTAGTTTCCCATGCCAGGAATGTGCCAAATATGAGTAGGAGTCCTTTATATGCATACAATGCACCTAACCAGTAGGTAAAATGTTGACAAGCACAGTATTCCAATATTGGCTGTATCTGTTGGTTAGATACGTCTGGGTCATCCTGTGGTCATTGAATAATATATGATATACATACCATGTTAGCAAAAAGGTTGAATCTAGAGATAATTCTCTAACCTGACATGTGGCTGGGTCGTTCGAACCAGAGAAAATCTACTTTGTGAATCACGGGCATTGCGCCGGGTGGATATGGGTCCAATCCGACGAACGTATACAACATGTAACAAAAATTGTTAACATTAACATTTTATTTGCACGAAATGTGTGGACATGCGCTATACGATGACTGTGCTATACGTCACATAGAAATTGGAAATTGTAGTGAGGAAGAGTAAAAAAGGTACGCATTTGACAGTTCTCAATTAAATGATTTTCGTTTAATCAAGTTTATAAAGGGGTAAGTATGATTCACATGATACCTCCAAACGAAGCATCTCTGTTTCACGATACAGTGGGTCCATGATTTGCCATACAGTCAATATCGTCACGTCTATCATCACCAATACGAGTACCATGCCATATAGTTGTCTATCGGTAACAATCTAGAAGAGCAAAAGAAAACAAATTGAAACGGAACGTTTGAATTGAAAGGCCACAATTCTCGAATGCCATTCCGAATTTTACTCACTCTGCGTTTCACTGTCTTTAGAGCAGCCACTCGGTGAACCCTCCAAGTTTTACTGAACATTGCACCGTAGGCTGTAACAAAACCGACTGAAATAATCCAAGTACGGACCTGGAAAAAACATAAAGAACAACACCGATCAGCGAGATAGCTCGCTTGAGTTCGTGGGAAGAATCATCAATCAGGCTCAATGTAAGTGTTATGGAGACGCAAATCAGGTAATGTTTTGCGTTGACCCCCCAATACCAAATATAAATGACCAATTTATTAAACACTAATAACAGAACATGTAGAAACAATTCCTGATCTTACCTGGCATAGAATGTGAAAGAATTCAGGGCCTACCCAGTTGTTATCCAAGCCGAATGAGAAAATCGCGATGTAAACTAAAATACTTCCCATTAAAATGATGTTATTTAAATACGGACTAGACATCTTGACGTATCTAAAACAAAACAATACAGTATAATAATAGTCCATCGAAATGTCGTTACACTTTGTGAAACCCGATCAGATAGGTTATGTATGACTGATGTTTTACGTAACTATGAATAAGTGTTGATGCTTTCATTATACCTTTGTTCTCTGTACTTCACGTTAAATCCTAAAAAGAACAGTGCCATTATGATTCCCAAAGCAGCCAAACTACACACGACGTAATATACCTCTGGTAAGATGTAGAGATAACGTTCTACTGTTGTTATAATAATCTGTGGCGTATGGTCCAGGGGGATTTTTTCTCCTGAAAATTTGGTAAGTAAGTCATCGTAACATGTATCTAACAAACATTTAAATTTGGCATTTCTTGGTATTGTTGGTTAGTAAACCAGCCAATTACATATATTTAGAAACGTTTACAATTTGTTCATAAGGTTTATTCAAAAACTCATACGTATGGATCATTCATTTACATAATCTCAAACAAATGTTTCGATGATCGTCATCGTCTCTTACCAATTAACAACAGATACACAAATGTCAATATCGTGAGCGGGGTTCACAATAACGTATTGTTATCGTCGATACTGACTCGTGGATCAGTTTCACCTCTGTACTATTATACCAATATTCTTGGAAATTATGAGTAGCCCTCCTGGTTCATCTTACGTAAACATATTGATATGTTGCTACAAGTGAACTTAACTATCCAGAATACATGCAAACGTTGAACGCACCTCGCCAATCAAAATCAGACGTGTATTCCAATATATCGCCATTTTCAGTGTACAGAGCGATTCGTTGCTCAATATATTCTGCAACGAAAAAGAAAGTCGTGCTTCATGGAAATCTATCGCAGATATACTAATAAGCAACACTGGTTGAGACTAGTTGAATCCAAACGCCACAAAAAAAAGGTCCCAAACAAACATTAAATAACAAGCATATAAATAAAATTGCAGTTCAACCATGTGTAGCAAAACTTGTATAGATATAAAGAACAGATATTTTTTTTATTTAACAAGTTATGCACATTTTATGAAAAAAATAATGGAAATTTCAAATTGTATAAAAGCTGGCATATTCTTTTGAGAAATTTAGAACTAACCTTGATTTGCTTCACATACAAAGCTGTTCTCTTGGAGACAGTTCACAGGTCGTAACGAGTTTGTGTCGTCGATTGAAACGCATGTTTGATTCGAATCAGCAACGTCTGGTAATTGGTTAATAATTGACGTATTTAATAATACGCCATTGTTCCAAACATAATTTTCACCGTCAAACGTCAAACCAACAAACCTGTAATGAAAATATTCGTCGAGTTGTGAATTTTGAATCATATTACTCGTTTGTATGAATTACGAAGAGAATGGATTGCTGGAATCAAACTGATTTTGCATACGTATTCGATTGTTTTTTGTTTTGATTGGGTTTGTTGGTTTATTTATATTTACCAATGTTTGTTTCGTTCCGTGGCTCCAAGTTTGGAAATAACAAATTCAAGTTCTTGTGAAGATGTTATAACAATCAGATCGCCGCCATCGCTTTGACATAATTCACGTGCCTGGCTCCATTCCATACGGAAAGTATGTAGAAGATAGCAATGGAAATTCCATTTTAAATAATCGTTCTTGCAACTAGCTGTGAAAGGAATCATACATGGTTATTCCAAAGTTTGATATGTGTCAAATTTTAATAATATATTCAATGTGCGCTTTTATTACATTTTACGATGCCATTTAATGTACGTACCTTGAAGCTGTTCTATTTGTGTGACACCTACACGATCACCATTTCTAAAGCTAACAGGTCCCTACCGAAAACAAAATCGAGTTAAAACAACTAGTACCACATACTAATTAGTATGCAAAAAAGATTTTGATTCTCCCACCAACAACATTTTTCATTTGAAATGTCGACAATCTTTCTGTGATCTATAAAACATGAGACGTAAATGAAATTCAGACAATGTATACAGCGTTCATGTGAAAATCTCACAATATCTCACTGAGACGCCCGTTACAATTCTTAACACACTCACCAAAAAACTTCTAATTACTCACTAAAACATTTCATAATTATAACTCATCTACGAAACATCTCTTAATTCTCCAAAACCCTCAATAATAACTCACCGAAATACCTCACAATAACTCACCAAAACACTTTCTCATAACTCACCGAAACACCCCATAATAACTCTCCGAAGCATCTCATAATAACATCTGATAATATCTTACCGAAACACCTCGAAAGTCCGTTTGTGAGAGAAGGTCGAAGAACAACTGTGACATGTCTTTGTCATCATAAGTGAAATCTTCTAAGCGTCGAATTGTGCCATCAACTAATGATTTAGTTTTGAGGTTAGCTGCTGCTTTGTCTAACATAAGAGCAATTGCCCATGCTGCATCATAGCCATATGGCGCTAAGCCGTTCCATACATAATTTTGATTCTCGGGCCATTCCATTCTTTCTCGCAGTTCCTGTTCGTATTCAGCGGCAGTCTAAATTAAGTCCAAAACATGTTTTTTCTAAACGTTATTAAAATTACCGTTAGTATTACTGTAACAGTGTTTAGTGATATAAGAGTAAGCTCAATCTCACAGTAAAATAGTAAAATCATTATTCTATTCGAAAATAATGTCGTCTGTAAAGTTCATTTACATTTAAAAGTTTTTAAATAACATCCATCCACCGAGGAATTTAACTTGCAGATTGATTCAGATTGCAATTTTGTGACAAAGTAAAAGTAGCTATCACTTACGATTCCAGCTATTGTCAGTTCTTCGGAGGTACTTAACTGCAAACTCTCTGTTGCTATATACTGTGATCCTTCCACGGCGGCCTTCAGTTCTTCGAGTGTGCAATCTACATACGGGTCATTCACTTCCCACCATCTTGGACCGTACCAGCCAATCAAAAACCACACATATTCTGGCCCTGTCATGTCTTGTTTATATGCCTGGACAAGCCGTATAATAACTAAATTTGTATTAAATACAACTACTTATCCAATTCAACTATTATAAAACAGCTAATGAACTAATGTGTACTCCTTTGGGTCGAATCTGGTATCTCCACCTGTTAGCGGTATCAACAAAGCGAGTCCTCGACGAGTGTTCACTACACACTACTAAGTTCAACAATGGTGTAGTAAAATACATATATATGCATAGCATAACCATAAGAATATTTTTATATTTATATTTATCGATGGTCCATACATTAGTAATACATACAATGGAGGGAACCATAATGCAAAGAGTTATCTACTGAGTAGTAAAGAGTGACCCACCTCACAGAATACTCGTCTCGCCATGTCTTCATACATATTGCCGACTATAATTTTGGCATCGTCTTTCTGCAAAAATGAAACAAATAATAATATCAACTAAATCAGTGATTACCAATAGCGTATATTTATACCCTGTTCGAATAAAATGGTACATATCGTGTGGTAGTGTAGAAGTGAACGGTCTACCTTCAAGTTTTCAATTTGATTCTTTGGATTCCCAGAGAAACTCTCTGATTTGATAGCTGTTATATTATTCTCCTTCATTAGAGTCAACAGGTTGTCTATTGCCTGTACAAAAATGAATGAATGAATAATTTCAAAGTTAAACAAAATGTCAATATATTACAAATTAAAATTTGAAAAACAAATACAACAAAAGAACGAGTTACATGCAATTAGAACATAATATTGTTAAACACCGTGTGCAAATAAAGCCAAAGTACAAGAAATAGAACATAATAGGAAATATTATTAGTTTGTTTGTGCTTCACCAACTAAATGAGAAAGAGGCACGTATCAGTAATATCGAATGATGCATGCCTCTGGAAACAACAAGTAAACCGGGGGCATTAAATATTAAATGACAATAAATGTTTCACATCCAATTTTAATGAACGTTAAATTGGATGATATATTTATGTCGATATATAACATTAAACTCCCATTTTGCTATGACTACGGCAGTCGGTTAACGATATCTTCTAGCCTTATTTACATGTACAATATATGTAAGTCTAATCGCCTTACTATGACTTGCGAAACAAAAGCAATTGCATCTATTTACCAAGGTTTTTTGCCACAAGTAATCATTCTTCTTCCACTCAATCATTACAGTATGTGCCAAAGTAACATGTAGAATACAAGTACGATTCACAACTCATTCAAATGTGCCACAAAGTCAATTTACAATTCAGTAATATTTATTGAACGGAGTTGAAATTACCAAAAGAAATGCTTATTCGGGCACTTGGCTTCAACATCAAACGTCACAGGAAATATTGTATTAGCTCATATAATTTTACTCTTCAAATATACATTAGGTCGTTGAATATATATGATTATATGAGGTCGCTGTGACGCCATACTGGCAAGTTCTATGGTAGTAATAGAGCCAGCATTGTATTTTATGTCATCATGTAATTTTCGAATGACGTTATATGTTTGGTATTTTATACTTTTTCAAATAAAAACAGAAAAAACATTCATGTCGTATATCCCCTAGCACAATTACTTTTAATTAATTGTCTAATATCGTGATATTATATAACGGTATACCCCGAGAAATTTAATCATTTATTCTGTTCCAGTTTGTTATATCATACTATGTGACAGCGATGTGTTGTTAAGATGATGCATATTTAGAGACAAAAAATTAGACCTCTTCTTCAGTGGCATCCACAAAGCATAGAACAGGAATGAACAGAACATAGTGCATCATCATCGAAAAACTATGCGATAAAGAAGAAAGATAAAAAAGCACTTGGAATATTTAGTTCCACGGCAATATTCGAAATCCGATAACGATCTAAAAAAACTAATGATTGTGAGTCCTGGACCTATGCCAGGCTGCCACTCCTTATTGCACGTACATTAGGACCAAAGGGGAGACGTTCAACGAGAAGAGTCTTACCTAGTGATTATTTGCACATGAAACAAATATTTATTTTTTGAATAAATTTTGAAATGTACTATTCTTGAATTTCTGAATAAGCTTGAACATGTTTTTGCTATATTTTCCCAGTCGATATTTGGATATCATATTAGTGTGATTTTCAATTATATACACTATATAATAAAGATCGGCTACACGCTATAGTACACACTGATTGAGGTCACCATATGTATATATTGTTTATGATTATTATTATTACGATACATCGTAATAACAACAGTTATGTGAGTTACTTTGTTTATTTTCCGTTTAAATTTACCTTGGTAATTAGAACAATTACATTACACGTGTACCCTCAATTAAAACTTTACAGGTGTACCCTCGATCTTATGGAAAAAGTGTTATAACACACATCAATAGTCATGATGTACAAATCCTTATTATTTCTTATATTCGAATCACACATTGCATATACTCGAGTTTGGAGGATCAGTAAGAAGAAATATAGCACATTGCTATAAGTTTATCGATAAAACAGTCCGCGCCGTTAAATGTGTTGGTGCAACTATCCCTAAAGTAAGAGAATCGCGAATATCAGGAGAAAAACACAATATGTTATTTCCAATATCACCTCATCCGTGTGTTGTTAATACTCATTGATTTTGAATTCTATGCACTTCACTTAGTAGTTTAGTGTTACTGAATTACTCTTTGTTGTACTAATTCGATACGTTTTATCTGAGATAAATTAACGTTTTCTAAAAAAAAAACAAATCGATATCTGGAAGTACGCGATATCACTGAAATGCCTTTCACTGTTGACAGGCTTTTGGCTAGTTTATTTTAATTAAATCATAAATCGTGAATTTATGCGTGTGAATGATGATAAGTACACCAGCAGTTCAACAATCATATTATCACTTCATGTAGTGGATGACCCCATTTTCGCAATCGCAATTAAATGATGTACAATGCTTTCAGATTATTCCCAGTAAGTGAAAAAATGCATACATGATCGAACACATAATCCCGATTTTCAGCCTCTGCCAAATGCTTAAAAGTTGTAACCTAAAATGTGAAGCCAGTGGTGTCGGCAACGTTGTTTTCCCACTAAACGTGTGTTTTTTTATTGACTCACCAATGAAAAAAGGTCATGGTTTTCGTGAATAGTAGCAACTCTAGTCCATCCGAAGTCCCTCATTAGTCTTATCCTTGCAGGATTATACGCCGCATCCGGAAGATAAGTTCGAAAAAAAGTAGGGTATTGTTCTCTGTTTGAAAGTGCTGAGGAAGCTGCCGAATAAGAAAGCTGAAAAAAAAAGTAGAAAACCTTGAAGATTAAAATTGATATATAGTTGTATTGAGTTCTCTGTCAAGTGAATACAGTTTTACAGGAAGTGATAATCCCTGTGAACATCTTTTGTGATGTCATTCGTCGTGTTCTAATTGAGCGGATTAAGCTGAAGTGAGATTACCCCCCCGGGATTACCCTGAACATCGCAATGTTCTGGACGCCTAATAAAAGATATATTTTCTGAGGTATATAAAAACTTATAAAAGCGGGAAACTGAAGGTGATCTTAAGAATGATGTTTAAGATTTGACTTGTTTATTCAGAATACGGGGTTTAAGTTGATGAGGCTTCGTATATAAAAATATATCTTTCAAATTTTTCACAGCATAAGAACATTATTGCCTAGTCTTTAAAGCGAACACAAAGTGATGTTTGGTCACAAATTCTTTCCAAACGGTTCACAAACTGGGTATTTGCTTATAATTATTTATTTATAAATGCATCAGCGTAATAATGTTCCCGCACAAAGGATCTTATCTCAAAACCACAAGGTGGGGTATTTTTTTCGCGACAGTATCCATAGTTAAGTTGGTCAACAAAATACGTATTTTTTATTCTAAAACAGCGAGTGAATGGCGAATACTTTCAAAATATATAATTGATTTCTGAAATGGATTAACATTGCCCAACCTTAATGAACACGACATACTGGATAATCTGAGAAGCTTGAAATTATTCATAGAGTCTGCTGCAGACTAAGAACAAACCAGTGCAACTAACGAACTTGGATTTGTGAATCTTTTTAGCACAGTGTTCATAGAATCTTTTTATCATCGACAGAATGGTATGGTGTGTCATTAGGGCCAAAATTGAAAAACGCCAATAAATAAAAGAATAAATCAAAGAATAGATAAATAAATAAAAGAATAAATAAAAGAATAGATAAATAAATAAAAGACTAAATCAAAAAATAAAACAATAAATAAAAGAAGAAATTGAAGAATAGAACAAGAAATAAAAAACTAAATTCAAGAATAGAACGATAAATTAAAAATAGAAGAATAAATAAAATAATAAATAAAATAATAAAACAAAAAATAAATCAAAGAATAAAATAATAAATAAAAGATTAAATTGAAAAATAGAACGATAAATTAAAAATAGAAGAATAAATAAAATAATAAAATAAAAGAATAAATCAAAGAATAAAATAATAAATAAAAGATTAAATTGAAAAATAGAACGATAAATTAAAAATAGAAGAATAAATAAAATAATAAAACAAAAAATAAAAGAATAAATAAACAAATAGAAAAATTTATAAAACAACAAATAAATAAATAAATAGAACTGCGAATCGATAAAACATCAAGCATATAGACTGACAATTAAAGAAACCAGCTTATTTAAAAGCGTAATTCTTAAACGTTGACAAGAAAAAGTAAAAGGCGTTGTTTTATACTGAACCACCTTTACTGATGGTAAACATCATGGCTGCCATGGATGGTAAACACTTCCTTCTTAGGCGGGTACATCTTTTGCTTAGCGATGTTTTGAAGTGTATTGAGGATGAAGATCGTATGAATTATGATAGCATTCAATACAAGCTCAACAGTTTGAAGCGTATTTGTTCGCAAGTTAACTCCTACTACTGTGATATGTCTTCTGTTTTGAGCGA